TTGCATATATATATATATATATATATATACTTTAACCAGTCAATTTTGAGAATACTACTGATATAAACAAATTCAGGTAATCTGCTTTGGTTCTACAGTTACAAAGATCAAATCGTGCCTCCCTCTGTGTGCTTCAAATGCTCACATTCAACCCGGGTAAAAAAGAATTTCAGGAATACTCAGAAACCCAACAGTGACGTTTAGGTGAACAAAATCTTTTTATCTGTTTATTTCCAAACGTGAGGTTGTTTTGGTCTTTTTCAACCAATGATAAGCTGTTGTTAATAATTTTTCTTTAACATGTTTTCATTTCACGACTGAAGCGGAATTCAAAAGTACGTGTACAAATGACGCAATAATATTCAAAATGCTGTAACCCGTCTAAGAATACCAACCACTTAAGTGAATTCATGATAGATGGTGTACACCGCATAATGCTTTCTAGCTTCTATTAAGAATAACTCTTTCTATTCTTTAGTTAGAAGTAGAAACTATTTTCACTAAAATAGCGGCAAATAACGTTAGTATTCCATTTAATTTTTCACGAGCAACCCTCCAGCAATTGTAACACAATAGCAGACAATCAAAGGATTGATAAATATTGATATACACTAAAATTTTATAATAAACCACAGGCGTATAAGCATTTTGAAGGCGGTTAGTTAGACACTGAGCGAAGTATCTTCATATTGTGATAGCATTTTCATGTTTACCTTAAGATTGTTAAAAAGTTCGTATCAGGTTCAAGCTAAGGTTGATTAATCACAAAGTATCGGTTCGGTACCAAGTAAAAAAGACCTAGAACTTTCCAGCAGAACCGCCTAAACTACACCTTTTGACTTGTCCAATCAAAACGGTTGCTACAAATGCACCAAACTTTTGGACGGCTCGCACCTCAGTTGTAGTTATTGGATAGGATAATTTTGACTTACTTCTTAGATTTTGTAATGCACTACTATATATGTATCGCGATATCTCGAACATCGTAGCAACTGAAACATGAAGCGGCCTGGTGCAGCACATTCAGTTGCCTGGAAATATCAAAACCGAGAGATTCAGCTATGTCCCAGGTCAGTCTCTCGAAGAAGCAAATTAGTTTTCAAATGAGTGTCTATTCGCTACTTCTTAGATTGTTTTACTACGAAATCGAGGACATTTACGTGTTATGTCTATGCCACAAAACATCCTCATAGAGGTTCAATGGATCCTGTCAGCACTGATTGCTGTGATGCGGCTAATGCTGTAGTGAGGACGTGGCAGTGTGACATCACAGTCCGCTAGTTATACGGTGATTTACAAGCAACTGTACTTTGTCCGGGGTTAAAACATGAAAATACTTAATGAAAAATATACAAAACTACCTAGAAAATGGTTAAGGAAAGGACTCATTTTGAAGTACAGATCCAGTTGATTGATATCAAAAATTAAATTTCACAAAACTTTGTTTATCAACTAATTAACTATTACTGTGGCTTGGGAATATTAGTGGTCATACTTCACGTGACAGGGCCCTACGTACATCCATATTACATATAAATCGCACACTATGCCGACTGTTAATCTGATGAGTCAAATTTCCGAAAAAAACTATTCAAAGCATGAAAGAGGCTTCTAAGCGCTGTTTACTAGGAAAGATTTTTAACTGGCTGGATGAAAAGAACAATCGGTAGTAATTCAGTGCTTTTTACTTGGTTTCATGATCGATGGCAGGGTATCTATGAAATAAACATCAATTTTGTACAGACTAATTATTGATTGTTGCTGCAACCACTGTTTTCAGAGTCCAAATAGAAGTAAGCTACTAACATTTTATTCTCAATAAGTAAAAAATGAAAAACAACATTTGAGCGCTACATGTGCATCGTGTGCATCGACCCCCACGAGATAATAGCAGAGACCGTATCGAAATGTACTGTCCTATGCACTTGTACAACAATCGGACATTATTAATCTAAGTGCCTTCTTCTTAAATGTTCAACATCATCGAAAGACGTTTTTAAAAGCGATTATTAGCAGTTTTTCAGGTAGTAGCTATTTGACGTGGAAGGTTGAAGGTGTTGGTGGATGGACTTTTTACCCATCTTAGTGAATCAGGCGAGTAATTTATGAAACATACGGGAGAATTCATCTTCAGTCACCTATGTGGATATAATATGTCACTTCGACCTACGGTGTTGTCAGCTATTCAGAAACACTACCAAAAAAGTACGATGTAATTGCAGTGATCATGGGTATCCTCTTGCAACTAACGTCCCTTGAAGGGATTGCCAAAATCAAGACAGCTTTTTGCTTCCCAAACAACTGTAAAAAGTAAAATCAAAATTTATTGAAAGAATATGTACATAAATGCTTTTCAAGTAGAAGTACAAAAACTCGGTACCAAAAATACGTGCTCTTATTTATTTATTTATCTTGCTCTATTTTCATACTGTGCATGTCAACCGTACTATGCAAAAAGCTGGATCTAACCATGTTATACCGTTTGTATCCCAGCAGGGATTCTACTATGGACATGGTATCAGCCGACAAACGTTTTCGAATGCATCACACTACCTTGTTGTTTGTTCGAACAGTTTCACGTTGTGTTCAATTGTATTGTTTGTCCCTTTACACAGTCTAAATACATCTTCAGTCCAATGTTTTCAGGCTTACTAACAATCCGGAAAACTTTATGTACATTCCAGCCCGAAATTTATTCCAATGTTGATATCTTCCTGATCACTGACTTCATAACAGGTATCGACGTATTGCTGTCTTAACATATGATAAATAGGGGTGCAACCATTAGCTCATCGGAACACTAACAATCATGTGATAACCAAATCCTGGGAGAAGCTACATGACCGACCCCAATTTACATTGCAACGTCATTTGAGATGGACAGAACGGTGTAGTTTTCAGCCACCAAGGGGCAGGTCCTCAATAAAACAAATGCACCAAACTTTTGGACGGCTCGCACCTCAGTTGTAGTTATTGGATAGGACAATTTTGACTTACTTCTTAGATTTTGTAATGCACTACTATATATGTATCGCGATATCTTGAACATCGTAGCAACTGAAACATGAAGCGGCCTGGTGCAGCACATTCAGTTGCCTGGAAATATCAAAACCGAGAGATTCAGCTATGTCCCAGGTCAGTCTCTCGAAGAAGCAAATTAGTTTTCAAATGAGTGTCTATTCGCTACTTCTTAGATTGTTTTACTACGAAATCGAGGACATTTACGTGTTATGTCTATGCCACAAAACATCCTCATAGAGGTTCAATGGATCCTGTCAGCACTGATTGCTGTGATGCGGCTAATGCTGTAGTGAGGACGTGGCAGTGTGACATCACAGTCCGCTAGTTATACGGTGATTTACAAGCAACTGTACTTTGTCCGGGGTTAAAACATGAAAATACTTAATGAAAAATATACAAAACTACCTAGAAAATGGTTAGGGAAAGGACTCATTTTGAAGTACAGATCCAGTTGATTGATATCAAAAATTAAATTTCACAAAACTTTGTTTATCAACTAATTAACTATTACTGTGGCTTGGGAATATTAGTGGTCATACTTCACGTGACAGGGCCCTACGTACATCCATATTACATATAAATCGCACACTATGCCGACTGTTAATCTGATGAGTCAAATTTCCGAAAAAAACTATTCAAAGCATGAAAGAGGCTTCTAAGCGCTGTTTACTAGGAAAGATTTTTAACTGGCTGGATGAAAAGAACAATCGGTAGTAATTCAGTGCTTTTTACTTGGTTTCATGATCGATGGCAGGGTATCTATGAAATAAACATCAATTTTGTGCAGACTAGTTATTGATTGTTGCTGCAAACACTGTTTTCAGAGTCCAAATAGAAGTAAGCTACTAACATTTTATTCTCAATAAGTAAAAAATGAAAAACAACATTTGAGCGCTACATGTGCATCGTGTGCATCGACCCCCACGAGATAATAGCAGAGACCGTATCGAAATGTACTGTCCTATGCACTTGTACAACAATCGGACATTATTAATCTAAGTGCCTTCTTCTTAAATGTTCAACATCATCGAAAGACGTTTTTAAAAGCGATTATTAGCAGTTTTTCAGGTAGTAGCTATTTGACGTGGAAGGTTGAAGGTGTTGGTGGATGGACTTTTTACCCATCTTAGTGAATCAGGCGAGTAATTTATGAAACATACGGGAGAATTCATCTTCAGTCACCTATGTGGATATAATATGTCACTTCGACCTACGGTGTTGTCAGCTATTCAGAAACACTACCAAAAAAGTACGATGTAATTGCAGTGATCATGGGTATCCTCTTGCAACTAACGTCCCTTGAAGGGATTGCCAAAATCAAGACAGCTTTTTGCTTCCCAAACAACTGTAAAAAGTAAAATCAAAATTTATTGAAAGAATATGTACATAAATGCTTTTCAAGTAGAAGTACAAAAACTCGGTACCAAAAATACGTGCTCTTATTTATTTATTTATCTTGCTCTATTTTCATACTGTGCATGTCAACCGTACTATGCAAAAAGCTGGATCTAACCATGTTATACCGTTTGTATCCCAGCAGGGATTCTACTATGGACATGGTATCAGCCGACAAACGTTTTCGAATGCATCACACTACCTTGTTGTTTGTTCGAACAGTTTCACGTTGTGTTCAATTGTATTGTTTGTCCCTTTACACAGTCTAAATAAATCTTCAGTCCAATGTTTTCAGGCTTACCAAAAATCCGGAAAACTTTATGTATATTCCAGCCCGAAATTTATTCCAATGTTGATATCTTCCTGATCATTGACTTCATAACAGTATCGACGTAATTGCTGTCTTAACATATGTTAAATAGGGGTGCAACCATTAGCTCATCGGAACACCAACAATCATGTGATAACCAAATCCTGGGAGAAGCTACATGACCGACCCCAATTTACATTGCAACGTCATTTGAGATGGACAGAACGGTGTAGTTTTCAGCCACCAAGGGGCAGGTCCTCAATAAAACAGACTCAGAACTAACAAGAATTTGGTTAATAAGGTCCCGTAAAACACCAGAAAATCGAAATCAAATGAAGGAAAAGTTCGCTATTGCTACTCAAAACCGTATCCGTAAGCCAGTGGGAGGAAAAAGGCCTCTCGCTGCGGAGTTATTCATCGGAAAATGCCAACTCACCAGTTGCCGACCATTGGACAGGGAAGCAAAATTCTCATTTGCATCTTATTTACAAAAACTGATCATCCATCTTCTCTTGAACGCGTCTTCCTGAAATTTCCTGGATATTCATTGACCCAAATCATTCAGTGCTCAAATCTAAGCAAATGCCACAAAGCGACTTTACAAATTCCGCAACGGATCTCCATTTTCAAGAGACGCAAAGCGAATTTACAAGAAGAAAACATACTACTCACACGCACTTCCATCAGCAGTAACACCTTTACACTAGTTTTGAGTCTTTACGCTTGCTCTCGAAAACATCAGCTGCGAGATTTTTGTAACATTTTGACTGACTCATTCGAAGATATTTGGTAACTCAAGTTTATATTTTAGATGTTTAAATGGTACAAAAACATAGAACCATAGTTCAAGGCTTTATCCAGTCACCTGATAAAGGCTCGAGACCCATAGATGCTTCCTAAGCGAAATCACTGAATCATAAAATCAAACCTCGTTTCATAAGACAGTAGTACAGGATCGCCAAACTTAACGGCTGAGATTAATGCAGCAGGACAGCATTAGTGCAATTTAGCCTTATCATTTAATGTGGTAGCCCGGAAGATGACGGGGATGCACTTAACTTCAAACATGCAAGCACAGATTGCGTGCATATGTACCGACACGTGAACTTATGCACGAAAAGCACATGGTTCGATGACAATGGGTTTGGGTTTTGCTAAAAGGCCAATGGCCGTGAGAAGGGGTAAGTATTTGTTAGAGCGGAAAGACGATAGGAAGTTCTTCATCATGTAGATGTTTCAAAGTATTCAGTTTGAGGTGTGAGGTATCTGACCTCTTGAGCTAACCTTACAAGACGCTAATAATAAGGTACTTTTTTATCAGACACAGGAAGCCGGACAATGTTGCAGTGTTGTATGTAAAGCCAATCCGTGCCAAAAAGCACTATACAGCCATTTATTCCTTATTGGGGATCATCACCTGTACGCATCTAGCGACAACCCAGCAAATGTCCAACTGCTGACCTCCCAGTTAGTGGTTTGAACAAATCTAGCGACAACCCAGCAAATGTCCAACTGATGACCTCCCAGTTAGTAGTTTGAACAATTGATCGTTCGGCCACGAGAGGCTGAACGGTAGTGTGACTAGGTCGTACTTAGACATCATATAATGCCACTCTCTGGTGCCTCGCGAGATGCGGAATCCCAATAAAGATAAAGCACTAGCACAGTGTTCCTCGGCTTTTTAGCATAGACTGACTTCACTTACAGGACAAAGCTTCCGTCGAAATCCCCGAATCTCCTCACACTACCAACAACGCTGTGAAAGCTTTAGAGGGCAACGAAAGACTGTGAACACATGGCAACAAACTTGCATTGACCAGTAAAAGGGAATGTGCGACGCACAAGGTGGACCATTCTTCAAGTACATCCAGGAGAACAAAACCCGTCAGTGAGGGTGTTTTAAGCTATACAGACACCAATATCCTTAGGTACCGCAACATTGGCACGAAGCTGTCATCTGACTGGATATGAATGAAAGCTGAAACCCACAGCCTTGGGTAAAATTTTTAAAACCGTCTTGGCCGGGTTTAACGGGAAAACTAAATCCTTGCGAGTAAGCCTAAAGAAGAGTGCTAATAAACGCTGTAAAACGAGTGGGGAAAGTGAGTGTACCCTGAGGAAGGCCGCTTGTAATTAGAAATTCACTCGATAAAAATCAGTTCAGGAGTGACTGGGGTGAAAGCATATCGTCCTCTAGTGTAAGTGAGAGGGTGACAAAATGCTAGTCTAGTGAGAGAATCGACTAAGTGGAGAACTCGATGGGCGAGATGTGGACTCAGTGCCCTAATTTATTCATCCCCAATTTTCCATTGACGAGAGTCAAGGCGGAAGTGATCGTAGCCACGGAGAGTCAATTCGTTGTGGACTACAATGCAAGTGAGCCAGGGTCTGGCAAGAAGGACAATGTAAATGGAAGGTTAATGTCAAGAACCGAATGATAACCAGGCGGCTTTTTGTTTGTTCGCCCAGCTTTGCAATTAGTTTACGAACAAGTCGTCATCAAACAGAAAGACGTGACCCGTACGCGATTGGTTGAGCACTTCTTCCTCATCTTTGGGCGATACTATGACTGTTGAAGAGTACATTTTATTTACTGACATGATAGTTCAGTTGAAGGTGAGTTTCATGGTACGTTGATTTATCAGCCAGGCTGGCTTTGTTTCGGTAGATTTGACTGCTGTACAGTTCAGTCTGCTTTTAATCGATGTAGCACTGTGGTCGGCCTAGCAGGCTCAGCTTTGGAGTAAACAGCACCCGGCCATCCACGATACAACACTGGCAGACGGCCGTCGACAGTAGTGGTTTCATTTGAACGCATAAAGCTTTTCTTAAAAACAGCAATAACACTTTATTTGGCGCCGTCGAGGCTCATAAAGACGCTGACAGGAAAGTTGTCACTGCCAAAACCATTTAGTCATACTATTGAGCCCACTTTCTTGATCGACGCAATGCGTGACGGAATTTCTGAATTGTAGTTTGTGGTGTTTTGTATATTTATTTTGCTTCCATTATAACATTGCGTATTTTGTCAGTTGCATAACCCCTTTTTGTTTGAATTCGAAAAATTACAAAAAGACACGCAACTGTACAATTTCACGCAATACAAACGTGGTGCTTCGACTCACTCTTGTGATTAAGATCCCGCTTACAGCGGTCACTCGCGAGTTTCATCTGCTAATTCTAGTACAAAACATTTCAGGCTATAGAGGAGAATGTCGGTAGCTCAGGTAGCGTAGATGGTCGTTGGCTTGTTCGCTGAGCTGGGCAATTTGGTTGCAAACGTTTCATCACCAATCGAGGTGACATCATCAGTGCGTAGTTGTGCGTAGCGGTGGGTTAGTGGTTGTGCGTTCAGTAGTGTTACGTGTGTGTTGATATACGTGCTGGTAGCCGGGGATGACCTTTGACCGCGATTAGTTATTCTGTCGGGCGGTTCCATTGGTTGTTCTTTTTATCCCGTGTCCTCATTCGCCGATGCCCACGTGACTTTTGAACTTGGCATCCCTCGCCGTCGTAGTCTAGTCGATGTTGGAGTGACCTTTGTCCTTCCGAGTTCCGGTTGTGACCTTTATTGATTTGACTCCGAGGAGTTCCTTGTTTCTTCGTTTGTGAATCCATTATTCGGTCCTCCTTGAGTGTTTCGGTTGCGATGTTGATCTCTCGCGCGTAGAGGTGCGTAAATTGGATCCAGTTCGATGCACCGGTTTATTGAACCTGTCGTAGAGTACCATGCTTCCAGAAATTCTCTTCCGTGTCGCGTGTCTCCGTATGCCAAAATTTTCGCGTTTTCCAGGTTAAATTTGTGGCCTTCCTGGTCCTCGTGTACGGATATCAAAGACAGGGGGTCATGCCTCCTGACAGCCGCTTTGTGTTCCTTTATTCGTGTACATAATTTTCTCCCAGTTTGTCCAACGTAGAATTTGTTGCAGTCGTTGCAGTCGATTTGGTATATCACATTGTTCCTCTTGGTTATGTCCCGGCTGTCCTTCGGTCTAGAGATTAATTTCCTTAGAGTAGCACTCGGTTTGTGGGCCACGAAGATTCCTTTTTGCGCCAATAATCTGGTTGCGAGTTCTGATATATTTTTGATGTAAGGTAGGACTACCCGTCTGGTGGCTTGTTCTTGCTGTGACTGTTGTTGAGATGTCTTCTTCTTCTTCAAGCTTCTCTTGATAAAACTCCTCGGATATCCATTCTTCTGGAACATTCTGTATAGATGGCTTTCCTCCTTTTTCCGTAGTTCTGTGGTGCTGCAATGTGTCTCCACCCTCTTGAATAAGGCTTGGACGCAGCTCTTTTTGTGGTTTACTGGATGATTGCTGTTGTAGTTCAGTATTTGTTACGTATGAGTCCCTTTGCGGTGTACGCAGGTTTCAGGCTTTCTTCGGAGTTTATTATATTTGTAAACTGTTCAGAAGAAGAATCCTGTACAACCATGATCAGATTAGTGTTTAATGGCTACCTGGGCAAATGACGAACTATTTTTTGAAAAGAACACTTATTTAGTCAGGTCCATCTGACCTCTTTATTATTGTATCCTCAAACTGACGTCATTACTTTGATTTTTTTGCCACACTCCTGGTGAAATAACCTATTGGACAGCCAGACCACTACAAATGTCGTGAGACCGAGTCTTTCCAGACATTTTTAAAACTTTTCCTTTCAATTCACCGTAATTTTTTTTCTTTGCCCGGTCATTATGGAGGCACACCTTAGTTCATCGGATTTAGTCGACACTGAAATTGGCATACGCGTACCAGACTACAACCATAGCAATCCCAGGGTATGGTTTCATCAGGTCGACGCTGTCTTCACTGCTCAATTCACCACTTCGCAAGCCACCCGCTTCTCCTTTGCCGTCCATATCTTCCCCGTGATGTAGCAACAAAAATAGAAGACCTGTCGGAAGATATTCCACTGGCAAACCCCAATGAGGTCCTTTAAGTGGCCGTGGGACAGAAAAATCCGAAAACAAGATGCTACGGGATTTATTCACTACAGTCAAACTTGGTGACCAGTCGCCGTCGCAACTGCTTCGCCATACACGTACTCTTTTCTGTGGCCGTAAGCTAGCGGTGGAAATCACGGGACAACTATGGCTCGACAAACTCACCCCCCATGTGCCGCGTAATCAGTTCTTTCGCCGATGAACACAGCTTGGAGCTGCTAGCCCAAATGCCGGACAAAATTCACGAAGCCCACCCCAGTGACCTCGTAAAATCCGTGTCCCGCCCTACATCCACTACATCCACAGATTCCGATCCAAAACTTTCTGTCATTTCACAACTACAAACTAGATTTGATACCTTGACCGATCGCTGCCAACGGCTAGAGATCAACAAGCATCGACCACGTTCGCGCTGTCGATCGTTGTCCCGTACCCGCCCCTCTTGATGCTTGATTCACCAATCTTTCGGTCCTGATGCGCACAAATGCCAACTGCCTTGTTCCTTCAAGCCGCGTTCAAACAGTCTTTATGCAACCCGGCAGTCAGGAACGGCGACGATTGTCTGTAGCCTTCCTAGCACTAGTCGCCTATTCCACACCACCGATGGTTCAAGTGGTCTACGTTCCCTCGTGGATACGGGGGCTGAAGTTAGTGTGCTACCACATAATAATTCGCTTTTCATTCTGCTTCTTATTCGTTACAGGTCGTCAACGGTAGCCGTATCGCCACATACGGCGAACAATCTCTCACCCTTGACCTCTGATAGCGATGTGCGTTCAAGTGGATTTTCCTCTTCGCCCACGTCCATGCACCCATCATTGTTGTAGACTTCCTGGCCCACTACAACTTATCTTCGATATTCGAAATAACCACTCCTCGGACACGCTAAATTTTCTCTCAGTCAACGGAATTGGTGCCTCCACTTCATCCAC